GTGTCGCGGTGATCGCCGTCGGCGACAACGCCGAGTTCGCGCTGCTGGACTTGGAGAACGTCGGCGTCGTGATCTACGTGCACCTGCAGTGGAGGACGGTGAAGAAGGTCTACGAGAGGAAACTCGCCGACGCCGACGATGGCGGCGGCGGCGGCGGTGACCGCCAGCCGCCGGTGAGGGTGTTCCCGCTGACGACAGTCTGGCCGCCAACGTTCCCGGAGTTGGACAAACCACGACAGAATTGCTGCGTCAGAAGCCCGGACGGTCTCGTCGGAGGCGTGGTGATGACGTGCCACGCCGGCTGGTCGGCGACGTCGCCGTCGTGCTCCCGCCGGGATGGGGACGACGACGACGACGACGACGAGGACGTCGGAGCAGTGCTCCCGGGCTGTTCGTGGGCCGGATGGTTCGATGACATGGCTGCAATGGTGGCCCAGCTCGCTGAATGGGCCGCGCAGCCCAGAAGCCCAAGAAGATGGCGTTGGTCTTGTCTCTGATACGACCCACACATGACACACCAGATACTGTGGCAGCTAGCCGAGCGCGAACTAGACACTGCGACCCTGTAGATCAGGTGCAAGCTGGATGCCACTGGGTGTACTCCACTTGTGAAAATCAATTTCTAAGAGAAGGTGAACTTAATTACGACAACTGTCTCATTTTATTGGACAATCAACTTAAGAATCTATCTATAATTATTGGACAATCAACTTAAGAATCTATCTATAAAAACCGTTTATTATAGTCAGGTGTTTGACGCATTTGTATCTGAAAATTGATTTTAAAAAACTGGCACCCGTAAAAACCGAGCTGAGCCGACCGGTAGTCTCAAACGGATAAGGCCTAGAGGAGGACTCGGACTCTCCGGTTTCCTCATTCTTTCACGCTCCCCCCTCCCTCTCTCTCTCCTGCGTGCGCTTCTCTCTCTCTATTGTCCTAGTGGTGGCTCCGCGGCGGCGGTGCCCTCCCCTGCCCGTCGACGGTGGTGAATTTTTTGTGTTAGTGTTGATATTTTTGAGTTCTTGGATGCCTACTAATTCTATGAATTAAATGTTCCATGGAATCGGGATGAAGGGGAACAGCTTGAGCTGTTTTTTTCCCTTGATTCTTGGGACCTCAAAGGTTCTCTTATCTATGCTGCCTTCTAGGTGCCGGTTAGGAAATCCGGCACCTACGCAGGGTTCCAACCAGCACCAATCTATGTTTATGTAATCGTGTCTTTTTGCTGCACGAATTTGTTTAATTCATATGAGCTTGGACGATAATGGCAAGGTTAATTTTACACAGTTTGTGTTGATCAGTATGAGACATGTGTAGTGAGTACACATAGGACATGCTATATTTACAAACATGGTCTCTACTTTGCTTCATCATAGCTTGGTTTTTAATTTCTTTCTGTACAATCAGTATTGCTTCATTTATATCTTTTGAAGAAAAAAAAAATCTAAAAAATGCCATTAACAAACGCCAAATTCTAATAAATATCATCGATAAATGTGAGTTCCATAAAATGCTATCGTGCGAACGACTTATCACATAAATGCCATTACCGTTAGGGTTCTATCCAACCCACCCCATCAAATGCACAGTTCATCTTGTATCACTTAATGAAAGGCTACTAACGGAACCCTAATAGCAATGGCACTTCTGAGATAAAATTACTTATACGATGGTATTGCATAGAACTCGATGCTTGTTAATGGCATTTCTTCGATTTTTTTTTCTCATGTTTTCATTGAACACATGTATGTCTAAATAGCATCTTTATGATATATATATATACTTATGTAATATCCTAGTTGGCACCTAAATCAATAAGATTAAGCATGTAGTCAAATTTGTGCTTCAAAACAAGTGTTTTAAATTCGTGCACTATATTGCACCCATCTAACAAGTTTGTGTATCACCAGTGCAATTTACCCTTGAATCAACTTTACTTTTATTGGATTGTTTACCCAAGTAGACTTTATTGGATTAATTGTGTGCCCATGGATATATGATTATGGTGGGAGGTTTGGGGCTTCCCCTACTAAGTTCCGGTAAAAAAATTGATATTAAGAGGACATTCCTCATATATACACGGTGAATTCAACAGACTTTCTAGGGCCAAATACACCACGGATCATCAAGATAACTCTAGGGCCAAAATATGCTACCAAATTGAGGCTATCATTCCACAGAACGAAACAAAAATTGGAAAAAAATAGCACAATTTCTTGAGTAATGTAACCACTGAAAAGTACTAGCTTGCTGCAACAATGGGGGGAGTGCAGTAAGGTTTTGTTCTCCGATGCTTCCTGCCGATTTCCCTTCAAAATCAGACCCAAATAGCATTTATGAATCAAGATATATTCGTGAATGAGCACAAATGAAAGAAATTGAAATTAGAATGCAATTGTTTGACTAAAAGAACATTACGAGCTAAGTTCAATTAACAGTTACCTGGATCTGTCATATATACAACCATGTGTTTGTTCTGCATCAAAATTACCAGACAACATGCATGCTGCGGCGCATACATTGGAGGTGTAGGGGATGCGACCATTTGCTGTTCGCCAGCTGCCGGAGCTTGCACTTGGGACACAAGCTAAGAAAAGAAAGAGAGTGGGGAAGAACTAATGAAACGAGAAACATGGATCTGGACAATGGACACATGATTATGTGGAGAAAAAGGTGTTGTGGCACCGACGGTAGCTCCATCGTCTACAGCTCGGCGGCCACTCCGGAAGCTATCGCTGGATTTGCAGCACTTGGACATGTTAATACGCACATTTAGCTCTTAAAGTATGAAATAGAAAACTATAGTTAAATTTAAAAAGAACCCACCCTAGGCCGATCTGACCACAGCTATCGGGCTGATCTGATCGGCGGCATGTGGTCAGTCAGACTAGCAGAGTCCGATTCCAAGTTCGATTTATTGGTTCTTGGGGCTTCTTGCTAAGACATGAGATTTTAGATTTCTAATTGGATATGAAATATATACGGGAAAGCAAGTCCACCACTCCTATAAATATAAGGGAGCAAAGACCGATTGAAACAACAACCAATCAATCATCAAAATCAATTTAATATCCCAACCCTCTATATCCTATATCTCTCTCCTTTTGTTTACCTATGCCAAGTCTATTCTCCTCAAACCATCCAATTGTTTGTCGTCTTTCATCTCTATGGTGTTAGACGACGTCCTAGCCGGCATGCCGAGTCTAGGACAAACCGGTGTGTGTTCACTTTGAAGGGATCCCTCCCAAGTGTTTGTTCAGCAGTATCTACCCGCTCCCTATAGCAGTGCGCCTCTAGGCGCCACGCCGCAGGTTGCACATAACATGTGTAGCAACACGATTCTACGTCAATTAAATACTCGTTGGTAGCTGGTGTATGGAGCTCGAGCTTGGCTAATGCTTGGTAGTTACGAGAGGGCAAGCACTGGCCACCCATGGAAGAAGAAGGGGAGGACGTAGACAAAATGGGTCCAAAAACTACTGAGCAGTGAATTTATATTTGCAAGGCAAGGAATTCTTGGCAGGGAGAGAAAAAAAAAAAAGGAAAGCTAATCTGGCCACGCTGATGCTGATGTGGCACTCCTTTGTATCCTCCTCGTCAGAAGTTCCCTAGGAACATGGACAAACTCCTGTACCAAGTTCTGGTAAAAACTATAATTGGATTAATTGCGTAGCCATGGATATTTGATGATGATGGGGGCTGTGGGTCCTCCCGAACCAAGTTCTGTTATAAAAATGATATGATAAGGACATTCTTCATACATGGTGCTAATGACATTCAAGAAAAATCAAATAGAAGTGGAAATGTTTCTTAGAATTAATATTATTTCAATTAATAATAATTTGCATTCTATGTGAAATACAACATAAACTTTTATGTTGGTGGTATTGCAGTATATGCACAAGATGACAACACTCAACCGAATGTCTTGAAATGGAGATGGGTGGTTTAGTTACTGCCTGGAAGCTATTATAGTAAAGAGGGAAGCACAACACCATGGCCAAGGATGATGGTTCAAATCTATGGGATTTCAGAAAAAAAAAAAGCAAAGGCATATTGACTATCCATGGTACATCCGGAAAATAAAAAACTTTGCCTGGTATATGAGATCTATTTTTTTCAAAAAAAAAAAAACAGAGCAGACAAAGGAGAATGTTAATCGGAAGGAATCAATATAATGTAGCCCAAGCTGCATGGAATTCAAGGATTAAGTGTCTTGGGGGATTCTTTCATTCTTAGGTATTATTATTAGAATTATATAAATTGTGTAACATGACACCAAATGAACATGTGCAATGACAAAAATGACCCAAAACCCTATCACTGCAAACCACCTCGAAAAAAGCCTAAACCCCCAAATGGGCAAAAGGTGGGGCAAACCCATTCTCATCCTCTCCACACTACCACCGTTTCCTTCCTCAAGCTCCCGCCTCCTCCCTATAGGTCTTCAAGGTTGAGCTCTCTCCTTCTCTCCCATGGAGGGACACTTGCCATGTTCGCTGAGAAAATATTTTGTCCCAACAAACTGTATGTTCTTTCATAATAAACACAAAATGTATCAGCAATATGTAGCACTTGTACCACATAAATGCTTTAATTAGGTCCGTTATGGGTGGTTGCATTCCAAATATAGCGCACATGTGATTGGTCACTTAAAACCAGCACGATGCAAAGAAAGATAGGAAAAACGTGTCTGCCTCATTAGGTCAACAAATATTGTGGGAAAAGATTCATCTTTTGGCATGAGAACCTATGGGACAATTAAATAAGTTTCTTGCTTCAAATATTTCATATGGTACAGCATGCTGAATTGACAAAAAAAATAATTTTCCTTGCATTTAAGATTTTTCTTGTGTTGAACATAGATCTTTTTTAATTTATCCACTCATATATTGTTTTTCTAGTAGCTCATTTTCTAGATAGGAATTTCATTGTTTATTAGCATTAAGCTGGTAATCAGATGCAACAAATACATGAACCAAGACTAGTTTGTAGGGATCTAGAAAAGGGAAAAGGGATAATATGATTAAAAAAGGAAATCGGATGATGGGATACAAAATAGAAAGCAATGATATATTGGAATGTAAATAAAGGAGCGACACCCTCCAAAATTGATAGTTGACCATGGTTTCTCTGGCAAAATATCATCTAAGAAAAAGTCCACCTTTGCCATGTTGGCCAAGTAGGCAAATGATAATGAGTCTCGCATTACTTGGGTGGGACTGAAAATTCCTAATTGGCCTATGAGAATGCTGCAACACTGTTGAAAGGCTAAGCCATGTCACCATTGGATCCAGCAGTGCCGCTTACACTGCTACCTTCGAACTGATTGTACCCCATTGAGCCAGTGCCCCTTGCAACATCCATCAGCCATCCCTCCCTCTGGATTGGTACCTCCGTGCTCGACAATGAGACAGATGCAGGTATGAGGCCTTGCTCACGGAGCTTCTTGAGGCGGTCGTTGACAATCTTGAGGCGTGAATTTGCCATCCTTCCGAGGCTGATAATCTGCTCGATGGTGAGACCATCGAGGCTTGGGTGGCGGCCATTGATGGCTTCAATGAGGAGTAGCTTGGTCTCGCTTTCATCAGCTTCGCGTCCCAGCTTGTGCAACTTCTCCTTGAGCTTGTCGATCTGCTTGTTGAGGATGCCCTCTAGGTCTATCATCTTCTTGTATCTGCCCAGCTGCGGCATGGCCTTGAAGTGCTCGAGAACTCTGGTCGCCTCCCACACCGACGGCCAAACCTTCGTTGCTTGCACCTCAACCTCACCGTACACCATGAGGAACAGTGTTGCGAACTCACTAACCTTCTTCATCAAGCCCTTCAGATGCTTCCTAAATGTCACCCGCCGCTTCACATCAATGACGATCCGCAGAAGCTTCATCTTCTTGCGAGCCATGGCCTTTGCAGTTCACCACTTTCTAGCAAGAATGCACCTGTAAATTGATGAGAGATGGTTAGATTGATGTGAAATCAAAGAAAGGGGAATATGGTGGATTTATAGTGGGAGATCATATTGCAACAATCGCCATGATGTGGAAAGAAATTATTTTGCAAATCCAAAAATATCAAATGAATCAATGTAAGTTAATGCTTTCCTGAAAAAAATGATCGGTTAATGTGTAGCTGGCGAGCATATCTTCAACCTTTAATCGTGTCCGTCTTTAGAAACTTCCTTGCAGGCATGAGCTAGCAATAGCCAATAGATATTACTCGCTAGATGATAATGAGTTCACACCAAAGATACGTTCATCCCCAGTTCATCATATATGTTTGAGTTAATCCTCTTTCATATGCGCAATAGGAATTCAATTTACAACTACAGAAATGATTTTCGCTACATTCAAAGAGTTCCAAGGATTGATCCTGTCACGATAGCTGCCATCGGATGGGCCATATCTGCCACAGAATGGATGATTTCCCCCATCACTCATAAACTTGTGAACAAGGGAGCCGCCTTCATGCTCGCTCGCTGTCCCAGCTTGCATCTGTTAAAAAGCATACATAGTTATCTTGTTAAGAAAGAGAACACTAGATAACTCGCAAACCGTATTTTTATCAACTCTACTATTATTGGATTATTTATCCATTTATTGCAGTTGAGTGGAGAGAACAGTGAAGCTAGCTATGTAATTTGAGGCTCCTATTAAAGCCCCATTGGTCTAAAATCTCAACATATTTGTTGCAAGTCATCAATTATATTATTAAAATTTAGTAAAGCCACAATGCTCAGCAAAAAGAACTAGCAAAACAGTACTATATTCCAAGGGAAAAAAGAATTTACATCTTTGATCATGTAGAATTTAGATTGTATCAATTTAGACTATTCTACCACCTCCACAACATCAATTGGAGAAAAACAAGAAAGATTAACACCGCTATGTTCGATGGGTCCAGATTTTCTCACTATACTGCAGTAAATTGGTCTGCCTCAACCGTGTAAGAAATATACTAGTATAACTCTATTTTACAGCGAAGATAGCGTGAAGACCTCGGCTAGTTCGTAAAATTTTATCTTATATCTGTTCATGGTTTTCAGGAAACACAAAAGCACATATGAAGTTGGCTTGCAATTTGCACAAGAATTACATTTGGCAGTTTCCATGCCGTAATCATTTCCTTCAGTTCTTGGACAGAAGTTGACTTTTTATCTAACCAGATCAACTTTGCTTGCATTTGTAGGATGTTGTTCCAAGTGTAATTATGTCCAAAAATAGCTTGAAGAAACCGTTGGAGAAAATAGAAACTACCAACGCTGAAGCGCATAAGATTGTTGACCTGCCAAACTTGATAAGCAAGAAAAAAAATGACAACCATAGACCAAATGTTTTGCCATATATACATCCATTCCGTTGCAGATCCACCACGCTAGGTAATCGGATGAAATATGGAATGTCGGTAGAGAAAAAATGTGCTCAATGACGATGACAACCCAAGTCCTGGTGTTATTATGAACTGGCATCCATGGTATCCGTGGATCTAGTAAGATAACTCTCGCACAACATTTTTGTGTCGGATGCAGAAAAAGTCCGCTATTTCGAACTTGTTATGTGGGTTCTTGTTTCCAAGAATTTTCATATAGATACAAGTTTCACTTAGATGATTGAGCAAGCTACAGGGCAATCAATTATTTGACCAGCCAAATTTGATAAGCAATAACAAAAATGACAACCATAGACCAGATGTTTTTGCCATATATGCGCCCAATAATGCCACTGCAGATCCACCACGCTAGGTAATCAGACGAGATGTGGAACACCGACAGAGAAAAAAATGTGTTCAATGATAATGACAACCCAAGTCCTGGTGTTCATAAAATATTATTCTGCAATTGGCATCCATGGTATCCGTGGGTAGGAAAAGATAACTCTCGCACAACATGTTTGTGTCAAATGAAGAAAAAGTCCGCTATTTGGAACTTGTTATGTGGATTCATGTTTTCTAGAACTTTCATATAGATACCATTTTCACTTAGATGATTGAGCAAGCTACAGGGCAATCATGTCGTCAGTTACCCTCGGTTTAAGAGTCTAACTGCTCTAAAAAGGAGTCTGAAGGAAGCCTTGGATGAAAAACGTTTCCTCTTGTACAAAACTATAATCGTGGAGGACCCCTTTCTCCATTGAAGGTTGATAAGACTGGCAGCAAGATCCTAGCAACTAGTCCAACCAGAGATGCAATATTATTAGCTTTGGGTGTTGTGACATCCAAGTCATCAAGTGTATTACTCACTTGATGGTGCAGAGATAGGTGAACAAGATCAAGGAGTATTAGAGATGATTGGGGCTGAAACTGCCAAAAAGTTGAAGAGATCACCTCTAGCAGGCATAACAGTAGGAGGACAGCTATATATATGACAAGACTTTTGAGATATGTGGATGCAGCCAATTGGGGACCTGCCTTTCTGATGAGTTATTTATTCACCTCACTTGACCTAGGTCACCTTGCCAGGTAACATGGAGTGCCTCATGACGCTTAAAGATTTGATGATCCCCTATTAGAGGAACTAGTCGCACGGGATATTATTATTGTAATTTTTAGTACATAAAAATGTTGAATTATACCAGCTTAGACTAATTGAGAGTAGAGTCTAAATCAATCATAACTTGCTAAATTCTACTTTCAAAATTAAATTAATACACTAAATTAAAAATCGATGATAGTTACATCATTGTAGTATTAACTTTGAATTCTACAATTATTAATTTTTGGAAAATGAAAATTAAAGAGTCCATGCTATTTTCGTCTTGCATGTTTTATTTAACACAAACTGGCAATACAATTTACGATCATCGTAATACGCTTTTAACAGCCATACCATTTTGAGTTATAATAAGAGCGTCAAGATAATGTCCAATTATATAATATAGGCATGAAATAAGTTGTGTATCAACATACACAAAGCATCTCCAACCATTAATATTATACCGCACGGTTCATTAAAAAAATACACTACTTTGCAATTTATCTTATTGTTTTTGCTAACGCAGTAGCCACAAGTATAATACCATGAGCGAAAGCAATAAACCCATATAATACACCCTATCAATTTTTCTCTCAATCACAATTGCAATGGAAGTATATAGATTCCATAAGAAATCTGTATATGTCAGAATTATGATTCTTTGATGAAAGCGATAAAAAAACACAATTATCTTGACCTCACCGAGCCAAGTGCATCATATATGTACCTCCTTGTGCATGGAGACATTATGTGATAAACCTACGATTAGTCCTTCAAAGGATGCATGTACGACCATATAAATTAGGAACAAATCTAAGAACCGGTACCTACAACTTCCTAATTATATATAGGTGCCGGTTTTTTTAAGTAGACTGGTACATATAGGTGTGTTCACAAGTACTCCACTGACGACTGGATCAACTATAGGTGCCAACTTTTTTAATAACCGGCATATAAAGTATTGGTGCTAGTTTTTGCTAGTAACCAGTACCCATAATTTATATTAGATGCAGGTTTCTTTTCTGAACATTTATATTTAGGCCGGTACCAATTTGGGGTGAGTACAATATGGACAGCGTGGCAATTCGTTGTAAATTTATACATCAAGAAACTGTAGAAATTTGTCATAACTGCAAGTCGATTAGGCCCGGAGATCGAGGTAGTACAACAATTGTGGTATGTTTGATGTGATATGGCCATCATAGTTTGAATAAGACAATTTCTTCACCTCTAACTAATTTGATATTTCATAACAAAAAGCACATCGTTCAAATGTATGGCTAACATTATCATAATGTTGAACCAAGAAGCGATTGATATTACTATTTTAAATCAATAAGATTAAGCATGTAGACAAATTTGTGCTTCAAAACTAGCATTTTAAATTCGTGCACTATACTACACCCATCCGACAAGTTTGTGTATCACCAACACAATTTACACTTTAGTCAACTTTATTTTTATTGGATTGTTTACCCAAGTAGACTTTATTGGATTAATTGTGTACCTATGGATATATGATGGTGGGTGCTGTGGGGCTTCCCCTACTAAGTTCTGGTAAAGAAATTGATATGAAGAGGACATTCCTCATACATGTTGAATTGAACATCTTCTCTAGGGCCAAATACACTAGGATTATCAAGATAACTCTAGGGAACAGGTTCCCCTAGATTAACCCCTACGGAAGACACCCTAGGGGTCAATTCTACCGGAAAGACAAACTTCCTTGGAGTTTTTCATGAATACCTTGGGGAAGATATTTGTTCCCTAGAGTTCGAAATTCTACAGATAGTTGTACATGTGGCATGTTCATCCTACGTGTAAAGTACATTCCCCTAGGTTTTCAGCTACAAAATGAAATCTTTTATTATTTTAATTTTTTATACATGTTGTATTATCCTCATTTACCTCAATGTTCAAGGAAAAAAATGATTAATTAACAACAATGTTACTTTTATTATGAACAGAAAAAACTTAACTTGAACTGAATCTTCAATTTGCATGCTTTTGTAGTACAGCAACAAAGCTGGAAATTAAACTGGGCTAACATTTCTTCTTACAAACACGCTCACACTTTCAAAATATGCTACCTAATTGAGGCTATCATTCCACAGAACTGTAACATACCCGAACTCTAGACCTTAAAAATTTTCTGTCAAAATAGTTGGAAGCTAACTTTTCTATTTTTGAGAGCCAAAAATTTCCATTTTAAAACCTAGGTGAAGTTGATATAACTCTTGCATGATAAAATTTTAGAACAAATTAAAACCTTTGCATCTCTAACCTAGGACAAAAATATAAGTTTATGTGTAAGCATGCATATTCTCATAGCCATGTTTGACTTGAGTCCTTCATATGCATTTGGATTGCATTTGGATTTTCGATTTGCATTTCATAATAGGTCTCATAAATATTAACTAAGATCTAGATAAACAACTGAACCATTAGGGCCTAGTGCTAGCTAGAGGAAGTTAAAATAGGAACCATACATCTTAAAATATATCAACAAGGCCAATGTCAAGCCCCACAAAACTATTTGGTCATCCATCTGAAGACTAGTCATGAACCTGGAAGTGAACAAATAAATTAACTCATATAGGATATATTCCACCTTAGTTACCTTTATAAGCATTCTCTTAATTAAATACTAGAGTAAACTTATGCATAAATAGTTAAGGAGCTTATTACATGTGTAAGGTAAACTAAAATTCTAACATATCAACATCACCTCAGGTTAAGAAGAGTCTAAATATAAAAGTTTTAAAAACATTTACATACATTTAGGAAAGGAAAATAATTCTTGCTAATTATTTAAAATAATCTGTGCAAGATAAAATCATTGAAAAATTCATGTAGGCTCTAATTAACATATACAACACACAGTAATTTCGGTATAATTTAATAACTAAATTTGATACCTCAAATAAATAAGTTAAACCAGACAAATAATAGACTAATTATAACTCCTAATTGGCTAAAACCATACCTTGTTGAAAAGTGCATTTAACTGCATGGAAGTGTATAGGGGAAATAATTTATTAAAATACTAGGTTAATTATCATGACTAAATATAATTTTTCTAGAATTTATCTTCTCTGTTTAGGTCTCCTAAAAATCCAAACTAGTTTCCAAAGAACCCATATTCCTCTAATTTCTGTGAGTAATCTATCCATAATTTTTGAGGCAACCAAAGAAAATGGAATCTAGGTATCTTCATCTACCTTCAGAAAAATCCACACTAAATTATCCTACCCACAAATTAAATAATTGAATTACTAAAGTGGGAGAGAGAAATAATCCTGAAAATCATTCAAATCTTTTGTTCACCCACGTTTCTGCCCAACCCTCTCACCCTAGCTTAGTTTGCCACGACCTGGACCCACTTGGCAGCCACTCTGGCTCATCCTCACCCTGTGCAAATCTTCCAGCCGACCATAGACAGCCGAGAGAGAGAGAGAGAGATTGGCGCCGGCTGTGTACGACGCGTGGCCTCGACGTGGCAGCGCCGAACCGAGGCTTCACCTCCACCCAGCTGTGTCGCCACTCTTCACCCACCATCCCAGTGCCGATCCAACCGAGGGAGGAAGCTCCAGCTCTCCCTCTCTACCTCTCTTTCGTCGCCGGCCGCCAAGAAGAGGGACATTGCCAACCGTCGTCGAGCCCTCTCCATCTCTAACTCATACTCGTTCCATTCTCATATCGCCATGCCGAACAACTTTGGTTTTGATCCCATTCCATTTCATCTTCTACAGCAGCGGGAACGCCGCCATGTCATGGTCGCTCTAGAGCGCGCTCTGTGCACCGCCGCAGCGACATCATCGCCGTTCCCGCTTATCTGGACCAAGCCGGACCAAGCTGTCGCGCCAGCGTCTTCGCCTCGACCTCCTCTCCATTTCCCCTCAAGAATCTCGAAGGATGGTGCTACGAGTGTGGAGATCGTCCACCGTCTTCTTCACCTCCGGTCGCCGTCGCCATTGTCGATTCCGCCTCCTCCGGTGAGCCATTGTCCGATTCTTCGCGTATACACCATCCCTGGGGCCTCACTAACCTCATGGACACACATACATGATAGTTCTTGGAGCTGATTGAGCCATCGCCGTTCACCCGGAGGTTCTTGCCGCCGCCGAGCCGTTACATGAGCCGCCGTCATCAACCTAGCTACCCCAGCCATGTCTAGCATCTCGGTGAGCACCCTTCAGCCTATAGAACATACATGCATGCACCCAATTAACCAATACATGATTGTAGAAGCACATGCATCACCACCCGAAAACATCCTCCTTTCGGACTCGCCGCCGGCGTTACTCCGATGTCCACTGACCAAGAAAAGTAGAGGAATGGAATCGCAATATCATGATCTTCATTTTGTCTTTTGGTCGCACCCCCAAACGAGCCATCGTTTGTCGCCGGTGAGCTCGAGATCGAGCTCAGCCATGGCTGTTCTGCCTCTGTGCGTGAGAAAAGAAGTCAGGGACCTTGTTTCGAGAATTTAAACAACTATAAGGTTTAATGTGCAACTTTTCAACTCACTGACATATGAGCCTAGGTCTGCGGGTTGATTCTTAGAAACCGCAGGGATCTTTTTGTATATTGATCTCTCACTGACAGTGGACCCCTTGGAAACAAAAATCTGAAATTATAAAAGAAAAGTACCTAAAACCTGTAAAATCCATATAAAATTAAATATAGCTCATTTTAAGATGATTCAAATTTCTGTGAACTCACCAAATTGTGAACTTTGATGTTATGGAATAAAAACTTGCACTCACAGTACAAATTTAGCCTCTAAAATTTATCCAAGTTAAATCACACATAAAGCATGCACAAATTTATAAAATGCATACAAAATTCATTTCAACTCATTTTAGAGCAAACTTAGTTTCTACAGATCCACCAACATGTTCTCTAAAAATAAAGTAAAATAAAACATATAAACACTTTACATCAAATGCCTCTAAAACTATTATCTTTAAAATAACTAGTTTTGCATAAGATGAACTTTAGAAGTTTATATAAAATTCATCTTAGATCCTTTTTGAGTAAACCCAAGTTCTGTAGAATCACCAAAACATATACTTCCAAGTTATAAAATAAAGTTATATACTTACTGTATGATAAAAGCCTCTAAATTCTTATGTAAGTAATAACCATCATAGAGCAACCTTAAATTGTAAAATTTGTAGAAAATTCATCTTTAGTCTAAATGAAGTGAACCAAATATCTATAGAACCAGCAAACAGTGGGCTTCAACATAGTAAAATAAAATATGGAACCTTCTGTACAGGTTATAGCTATCGATTGAGCAATATGTATATATATAAATGTATATAGAAATACACTCTAGCTATAATGAAACACAAATAAAACCTGTTAGACCAGTGAATGCATAATGCATAGTTCCATCCCCATCCACCAAAACTTAAGGCACTTAGCTCATATAATAATTTTTAGGTTGATATAATAAATTGCTAGCATGGACTAGAGCTCCCCTAGTTTATAAAATATGAACCATGGTAATAAAGACCATAAGCCTATGAACTAAGGTTAGATTAGTTAACTAAAATACTCATTTTATACATCACTAGCTAGATGAGGCAAGTTCTGGACCTAAACCTCTAAAGCTATGAACCTATAGAACACTATACACCTATAACACGTTATAACTTGTAAAATACATAAAGAATTCATATTAACTCTAAAAATTATGAAACCAAATGTGTTGGTCTTAGAAAACACATATCTTCACCCCAGCAAACATAAACTTAACAAGAATCACCTTACAACAGCATTTCACAATAGTACCTAAGTAAATCCTACACTATACCGACGAAACTTCTAAAATTCATAATTCTCAAATGAAATGAGATAAAATATAAATTCTTTCACCTAAATTCATTTTAGACCAGTACCTATTCACTGTGCACAAATCATCCATTTTAGAGCATTTTGGATTTTTCGCATATTTCGGTGTTTAATTGCATAACGTGTACTTTGTTTAGATGATTGCTTAAACGGTGAAGAAGTGATTTAGGTGCTGACATTTTCCTGATTCAAGGCAAGTCCCACCTCCCTCTCTTTGATCACTTTGAACCTATGTTTTGGAGGTTATTGAAAATGTTTGAACCTATGTTTTGGAGGTTATTGAAAATGTTTGCAAATCCTGCATGTCGATTGTACATTAACAAATTAAAATTGTGTTAAACTTGTTAGACAAACTCCTATTATTTACATTATCACCTTAACCCCACATATATCCATATCCATCATTCCTATCCTTAGGAACAATATGACTATACCACGTTATATATGAATTTTGGAGTCACTAGGTTATTATAATGCTTAGCCATGCTTAGAATGGTCTTCCTTGTCATTATGGGTTCATTACAAATATGAAAAATTGATTTTGAAATAATCTGGACAGAACTTTAATACTTGTGATTTTCATAAATAAAATGATGGAAAACATGGATTTTAGGTTTGGGCCTCAACTGGTGCACATATGGTGATTAGTTGTGTACCGATAGGGGGAGAGTGCACCCAAACCGACCTAAGGACTTCACTCAATGTCAGTTCATTTCGTATACAGTACAACCACATGTGCTAGTATGGGATAGCTCAAGCTTAGTAAATTATTTATGGTTTAGCCTTACATTCTGGTAGACCGGTGCGTATGAATTCGGATAACTCAGAGGAACTTCCTATTTACCCCGACGTGGTAGTTTAGGTCACTAAGTCTGTCCAATACAACGGTATTGTGCCACGTGGGTGGGTTCCCGTTGTGTCCGCCACCACGGCGTTAAGTTTAAGGCGTGAGCCCGCCACTTAACGGTTCTAGGTCATATAACGTGTATGGCTTAGGATGGAGTAACACGTATCGTGCTGGTGTAAGGCTAAATCATGAATTTTGGAAAAGCTTTGTTGCGGGTAATAAATCGGGTACTTATGTATCGCGTGCCATGCTCTTGCATGATTATTATTTCGCATCATGTGGGTAAAGTGTACAAACTCTGCAGAGTTAAAACTAATCGATTCGTTGTGCTCGCGGTCATGAGCGGCGTGTGGATATCTATTGAGTATAGACTTGTGTTTATTCTCCTAAATGCTGAAATTTACCTTTAAATCAATTTAAAGAGATTTGAGAATGATCTCCTTGCTCCTTGCTGCCATGGAAGGCAATGAGGTGCATATTTATACATGATTAATGCCTATTTTGATGCCCAATATGACAAGTACTAGCTTGTTGAAATTTATTTGAAAGTAAACCTGATTTGGAAATGTTTTATGCAAATAAAACTTGCTTTATGCTAAAAAGAACCATATTATGTCTTCCTTGATTATATGCCTTGCAAGTAGGGTGTTAGGCTTGTCTTGGTGCTTGCCCTAATAATGTACTGACTCTTGCTATTGAATTAATCTTTTGCTTGCAGGTTTTAGACTTAGTCTTTGAGTGATGCGGGTAATCGACTGCTTCTTCTAGTACTTGAACTTAATGGGGTAAACCCCTAGTCGGTGTGCTTGTGGATTGGGTAGACAAGCTTCCGCTGTTCTATATATTTATTTGGCCGGTCGGCCAATGTAACTAAAGTAGATGTAGTTTATAATCGCTTTCATCTTATTTGTGTTTGCTATGTATAATCATGCTTGAGATGAAAGTGTGAATCTAGTGCACATCCTGTGAACTAGATTCACATGAGTATGAGTTAAGAATATTTGAGATGTTATAGATCTTTAGCCATTTTTGTTAAGTCTCCTGAATGTGTAACACATCTGGTCACTGCCTTCGAGTGGTTTGACGGGCGTATCTCAGGCTGAAGTTGACTGGCAGGTTAAAGGCTCAGCAATGTCTCCAATATTCCTCTCTCGAGGCGTCGGATATTTTATTATGCTTGTTTGATGACTTGAATTATTCATTTCATCTCTCAATTATAATGGAAGGTCCGGAGAGCCTATGACAAGAACGAAACAAAATTGAAAAAACAAATAGCCCAATTTCTTGAGGACTAAAACCACTGAATAGTACTAGCTTGCTGCAAAAATGGAGGAAGTGCGCAGTGAGTTGTTCTCGGATGCTTCCTGCCGATTTCCCTTCAAAATCAGACCCAAATAGCAATTATGAGTCAAGATAAATTCGTGAATGAGCACAAATGAAAGAATTTGAAATTAGCATGAAATTGTTTGGCTAAAGAACAGTACGAGCTAAGTTCAAATATGTACAACCATGTGTTGTTCGGCATCAAAATTACCAGGCAACCTGCTGGCTGTGGCGTGTACATTGGAGGTGTAGGGGATGCGACCATTTGCTGTTCGCTAGCTGCCGGAGCTTGCCCTTGGGACACAAGCTAAGAAAAGAAAGAGAGTGGACCGGATGAACTAAAGAACCAAGTAACATGGATCTGGACAAATGATTGAGTGGAGAAAGGGGCGTTGCGGCACCGACTGCAGCTATAGCTGGATTTGCAGCACTTGGACGTGTTAATACTCAAATTTGGCTCTAGAATATAAAATTGAAAACTTTTGCTAAATTTAAAAAGAACCTAGACTTGTCATACGAGGCCGGTCGGACCGATAGCAGGGGCCGGTCTGACCGGCAGCATGTGATCGGTTAGACTGGTAGAGTCCGACTACAAGTTTGATTTATCAGTTCTTGGGTTTTCTTGCTAAGGCTTGATATTTGAGAGTTCTAATTGGTTTCTACAGCTAATTGAACGTGAGAAAGAACCTGGGAAGCAATTTCAACCCTCCTATAGATATAAGTGAGCTAAGGCGGATTGAAACAAAACCAATCAATCGTTAAAATCAATTTAATAACCAAACCATCTATATTTTCTATCTCACTTTTTCTTGCTACCTATCCCAAGTATATTCTCCTTAAACCGGACATCCTAGCTGGCCTGTTGAGTCTAGGACAAACCGGCGTGTGTTCACCCCGACGGGGTCTCTCCGAGTGCTCGTTCGGCGACATCTATCCGCGCCCTATAACGGCGCGTCTCTGGGTGCCGCGCCATGGGTTGCACATAACGTGTGTGGCGGCAGCACGATTCTACGTCAACAGAACGCTCACTTGTAGCTGGTGTACAGAGCTCGAGCCTGGTTGATGCTTGGTAGTTAGGAGAGGGCAAGCACTGGCCAACCATGGAAGAAGAAGGGGAAGATGTAGATTAGATGGGCCCAAAAACTACTGAGCAGTGAATTTGATTTTCAAGGCGCGTTGTTCTTGGCGGGGAGAGAAAAAAAGGGAATGCTAATCTGGCCATCCTAGTGCTGATGTGGCACAACTTAGTGTCCTTCTCGTCAGAAGTTCCCTAGGAACATGGACAAACTCTTGTACCAAAATAAAAACTTTTATTGGATTAATTATGTAGCCATGGATATATGATGATGCTAAGGGCTGTGGGGCCTCTCTTACAAACTCCTGGTAAAAAATGATATGACGAGGACATTACTCATAGAGAAAATTTCCTATGTACCCATAAAAGTTCACCTAATCTCTTATTTGCTTCTGAATTTTGCTCATTCTCTTACATACCCCTGAATTTTAGTTTGGATCGCTTCCACGCCCTTTTCTCTAGTTGACTGCTAAATTATTATGAAAAAGTCCATTTTTCCCTTTGCTACGAGAAACATAATAAATTAATGGAGTACATTGTTGGATGTAGAAATTTGTTGGATGAGACTATTATATTTATGAGTTTGTTATGCACCATATTAACTGCGACAAATTTAGTTTTAGATTTGATATAAAAATTTAATATTTATTTATTAGTTATTGAATGTTTTTTTATGTAGCATATTGTTGACGAAAAATCCGCACTCGGCCAGTGGTGCCGGGTCTGTGCTGGCGCAAACTAAGTCGACGAACATAACGGTCTGGGAGATCTGCTTAGCTCCAGTGCAGGTCCAAAGGTTGGTGAAATACAGGCGTGTCAGTCAGGTTTATCCTGAAACTAACAAGATATACAAATAGCAGGTCAATGAGCCTATCGGCTGACGAGCCGATGGAGTAGTTCCAGTCGATGCCGATACCAGCCGATAGTGATAGGGTTTGGAGCTATCGGTTATATATCCAATTTAGATTCTGATACTTGAGACAATCGGCTGATAATAATAAATAACAATAATATAATCCAGTAGAAACCAATCGGCTAACATTGATATGATAGAATAAGCACTGATCCGAAGGTTGAAGAATACATCGGTTGGAGATCCGATGTCATAAAATCC